GCATTAATAAAGTGAATTTTGGAAGAACTTCAATCTAATATTTAAAACTGAAAGTCTGCCTCTTTAAGCAACATTCCCTCCTTCTTTGGGATTGATGCTGCATCTTCAGTTCTAGATTTTTTTTTCTGCGAATGAAGCTTGGTTATTTCTGATGTAGGGGAGAAGAATAAGATCACTGAAAGGCACATGTAAGTACCCCATCTGAGAAAGAACAGAAGGAGTGGCAACATCTAAATAGAGAACTATGCCACCAAATTGCTTTCATCAATGACATCTTCACGGCTACATTTCTTTAGTTTCCTGTTTAGTAAAGCTCTGCCCATAACCTATGCAAAATGTGTGTGCAAAATTAAACTTTTAAGTGAAACCTCAACATCTGGCATTGCCATTTTCATATGCATTTTTAAAACCTATTAATATTTTGTTTTATCTAAGGATTTATTTATGGTGTAGAATGCACCACTGTATCTGAGTTCAGCCTGAACATACTTCGCAGTTTGACCTTGGAACTAGCTATGATGGTTGTGTTACCTCAGATGAGGCATGAAATCCTCCTGTTATGAAGGATGTCTGCCATCCAGCATCCACTGCCATCCCAAGGGTCACAGAAGGAATGTGGTCTTGCCATCTTTTCTTTTCCAGTTCTGAGTGTAATGTTATTACTGTTGCCAGATGTTTGTGTCATCTAGTCATAAAAATCTGGATCACAGAGGTACAAACTGATGGTCCTCTGAGATCATTGAGTCCAACCGTTAACCTAGCACTGTGAGTCCACCACTAAACCATGTCCTTAAGCACCACATCTACATGTGTTTTAAACACTTCCAGGGATGATGACTACGGTTCCCTGGGCAGCCTGTTCCAATGCTTGACAATCCTTTTGGTAGAGAAATTCCTGCTAATATTCAGTCTAAACCTCTCCTGGCACAGCTTGAGGCAGTTTCCTCTTGTTTTATCAAGTGGTACGTGGGAGAAGAGACCAACCCTAACCTCATTTCAGGTGGTTAGAGTTGGTAGAATTGTAAGGTCTCACCTGAGCCTTCTTTTCTCCAGGGTAAATAACCCCAGCTCCCTTAGCTACTCTGGACTCACTCCAGTTCCTCAATGTCCTTCTTGCTGTGAGGGGCCCAGAACAGAACACAGGATTCGTAGTGCCTTCACCACTGCCCAGTACAGGGTGACAATCACTTCCCAGGTCCTACTGGCCACACTATTGCTGATACAGGCCAGGATTCCATTTGCTTTCTTGGACACGTGGGCACACGTGGATCATGTCTGGATGGCTTCCAGGTCCATTTCTGCTGGGCAGCTTTCTGCTGGGCTTCCTCCTCATATTATCCCTGTTCCAACGTGGGGCATTCCCAGTGGCCGCAGGGAAAGCCCAGCCCGGCCGGGGTCTCTCCCTGGCCGCAGGCCCATCCCTGTCGGGTCTCTGCAGGCCCCGGCCCCGCTCCCGCTGTCCCCCCGGGGCTCGCAGGGCTGTTTGTGGCTCGGTTCCCCTGGCTCAGCCCTGGCTGCCGGGCAGCGTTTTGCCCTCCCTTGGCCAGGCTTTCCCCGGGGCTGAGGGGCTCAGCCGGGCCCAGCCCTGGGGCCGCTGCAGCCGCCGGCACCGCCTGGGGCCGGGCCGGGCCGGGCAGCCCCGGCCGCTCCGCAGAGCCAACACCCGGTAGGGAGAGGATGGTCTTGTTTGGATTTACAGGGTTGTCGGATTTTTTTCGTTAAATTGAGATAAAGTTTTAAGATGCTCTTAGAGGGACAGGAAAAAAAAATTAAAGGGTCAAACTCTAGACAGGATTTTGCCAGCACTTTGGAGTACGGGAATCCATGAATTATTTATGTCTGACTTTCCAGTATGTTCCCAAAAGGCTGGTAGTGTTTTCCCTGTTCATCTGTCTATGATCGTCTAAGATTTTAATTTGGTTCTCTCAGGAGTGTGTATATGCTCTGACTTATAGAATTGAATGTATATTTTTGTGGCACAGATAGAAAATAGTGTTGCTATTGTGGAAATTAAATGTAGGAAATTTACTTCTAGTAGTTTCTCAGCTATGGTGTACTCTGTTAAGATACTTAACTTTTATTTTTCTTCTTGTATTCCCTCTAATTTTCCCTTTGTTTCTGCTGCAAAGTTCCCAGAAGTGTGGGTTAAAAGCCTATCAGCCAACTTACTTTATGATGAAAAATGAAAATAATTGGAAAGGGAAGCCAGAGAAGAAGGTGGTCATTATGATTATGTGGGAAAATGCTTTTCTGAAGACAACTGATGGAATTATTAGGTTTTTTTGTGCCCATGCTGAACAGTGGAGGAAACAGGGAGATTAAATGTATATTAAACAGCAAAGCAGATTTTCTACTGGTAAGGCCAGTGGAGCCTGGAGCAAAAGGAAGTGGCTAAGAGAGGCTGCAGTGAGAGAGGCTTCAGTGGAGGAGCTTGAGTGGAGGACTGGTTCTGTATGTTAAATATGTGGAATGACAGGAAAAAAATCTGCCTCGTCTAGAGATTTGGTAGTGGGCTAGGGGTGCAGAGGCTCATTTCAACCATATATTTTGTAATTCTACAGTACTAGCAGTTTTAAGTCCCACTGAAACCTCAGAATGCCCAATTTCTTATGCTGAAGACTGAGCTAAATTAAAAGTTCATCTCTGAACAGATGTGCAAATGTGAGCGCTTGCTGTGTTGGTGTTTGTTGTTGAAGCACTGTTCCATATTGTTGAATCATATACATATATTTTAATCTAACTACCTTCAGTACGGTAGTGTCTCTGTTGCTTGTGAAAATTTGTTTTGTGTTTCCTTGTATGGTATTTCTCATACAAATGTAAGTAATGAAAAAATAACGGTTAGAGTCTATAATGTTAACAGTTCAGCTGGATATCACAGAGCTGTAGATCCAGGGATACTGGCCTACTAAGTGCTGTTGGCTGCAATCTTTCCCCTTGAAGAACTGTAGTAGTAAACTGAAGTCATGATAGATGTTAGAAATTACATTCTCTGTCCAGAAGAAATATTTTAATAGGGGCAAAAAACACTCTTTTTTAATGTCAGGGACATTTATTTTGATTTCTCTGCTTCTAGATGAAGAAGACATGCAGCATGCCTTTTTTATTTTTTCTTCCCCTCTCTTTTGATATCTGTATTTTTTTAAAAACCAAACAAAAATTATGGAAACATGCAATGGTTGCAGAATGTTAGCTTCTGTCTAGATATTGAGCCTATTTGAAGCAAGTACAATTTATGACAGTAGTTAATTTTCTAATCAGATTTTTTTTCCCATTTAAACTGATGCTTGCAAATGTCGATTACTAAAGCAGTTGTTGAAGTGTTTTTTTTATTGAAAACAAAGTTTTAAAAGCTTATAGCCTAAAAATTAAACTTCACCGAGATTGAATATAGCCCTAAAAGAAGTTAACAAGAGTAGCAGGCATTTGCTGCCTGTGTCTCATGTTTTGAACTCATATAAGCTGTTGTTGTACCAGTAGCATCTTTTTGGTCACAGAGGGGCTTCCCCGTTGGCCATGCAACCTGGTAGTCCCTCTCAAATACACTTTAAATATTTTCGAGCGTTTGTGCTAGGGCAAGCATTTTGTGTAGTTCTGGACTCCCAGTCTCGTTTATTTAGCTGGGTTTTACCTCCTCGGGCGAGTGTTTATGAAACAGCCGATTCAGCAGAGCCTCCCCGCCGGGGGGCAGGGGTCAGGCAGCCGTGGGGGAGCGTGGGGATGAGCTGAGCAGACAAAGGGCTTTTCCCAGAGAGCTTCCTCACCACTGCAGGGAAAGCAGAATGCAGCAGGGGAGCTGCTCTCAGCCAGTGTGCCTGAAAACATTTCGCCAGGCGACTCATTCACAGCTCTGGTGTTTCGTCCCAGCCCAGTGCAGTCTCGGGATGCAATTCGAGCCTCATGCTGCTGTAGTTTTGTAGTTTTGTCTTGCATATGTATACCAGTGTCTTGAGCTTCAGGAAGCTTTGGAAAAATGCTACCCTGCTGGACTAACTGTGTCTTCTTGGGCAGCCCTGTGGCCTCAGAGACAAAGCTTTATAGGATGTCATCTTCCGTTTTAGAGCTCTAATTTCTAATGGCAGACTGATGCAGAGATGCTTGGTCTGGCTGTTGAATTTTATACTTTCTTTTACCAACTACCCTTTCCTACTGTTTTCAGTCTTCTCACTTCTTCCAGAAAAAGCTCTATTATTATATAATTTATTAGAATAGAGCCAAGGTAGGAGTTTTGCTTCTGATGCAAGTGGTGACTGTTCTGAATATCCCCACTGCTCTTTAGGAGGCTCATGCAGCTGGCAGCCTGTGGGCCACTTCTCTTGCACAGAATAATTCTGGCCAGGTCCTACATGAACATGATTTTATCCTGTCATGCCTGTGCATAATCATGCAAGTTGCCTCTCCACAGGTGTGCTGTTTTTCATAAAAATACACAGATAAAATGTCAAAATCATCTTCTGGACTAGAAGAAAGAGTGTGAAAGTTGCCTAGGTTTAAAATATAATAATTATTAAATAAACATGTGTGTTAGCAAGTAAACACTAGATTATATTTCTCTCATGTATCATTTGTTGATTTTCTGCTTGAAAAGCATTTCATGATTCATTACTTTCATGATACTATAGTTTTATGCTGCATACTCCCACTGGAATACTATACAAAAATCAAAGCTATAAATGATTTGAATCCTCTCAAATGTACTGATAGTAACTATTTAAAAGTAAGATAAATTAATATTTTATTATTAAAATTATTTTATTATTAAATGTTAATATTAATTAATATTAAACAATAAATATGGGAGATAAATATATTTTTTTTTCTTAATTCAGAAATTGTTTATGTTTTAAGTAAGTGATATATTGTTCAGTACAGAACAGAAGCATATTCTATAATTTTTACCATAAATGAGTGTTATTATTCTTATATGTAAATGAGTCTGATATTTATCACGTTTATGATAACAAACCCATTGTTTTATCTTTCCATGAACTGCAGAAACTATGCCTGTTCCAGACCAGCCCTCGTCTTCTGACAAGACAAGTTCCCTTAGTCCTGTGTTGAACACATCCAATGGTGATGGCTCTGAAACTGAGACAACCTCTGCCATTCTAGCTTCAGTCAAAGAACAGGTAGGCAAGTGTAGCCTGGAAAAGAATACTATGATTTACTGGTTTGTTTTTTCTTACAAATGTTTCATAGCTGGTACATGAATAATTTAGTTCACAAATGCACATTGCATAGAATTATAACCATTTCTTCATGTCTGAGTATACTTCTGTAAGCTTTCCTATGACAAATTTAATATAATTTAATTGCTCATTTTATTCTCCACTTTCAGTCTTTACTGTGGATGGTGGTTTTCCAATATGTCTCCTTTTATTGTTGTCAGTCTGCATGTGGAGTTACAGTGTGGCATGGAAGAGTTATAGACAAATGAATTGTGGAGAAGATGTGTTATTGTAGAATTTTTAAAGGATTAGTAAGAGCCCTAGGGTTTTAAAATTTATATACCAGTTTTTTTGGTTTTATGTAAAACCTGATGTGAGATTATTTCAGGGCATAATTGGGTATACATAGAGGCACTCAGTTTTGGATGATTAAAACCAAAATATTAGAATTTTTCATGGTAAAAAGACCTTCAGTGTGATGGTCTGTTTGATGGTAATAAGACAGGTTTGGGAATTTAATGTAAATTTTTGTGGGCTGAGTGTCAGAGATTTTGCTTTCACTGCCTTTTTATACATTAGGAGATGGTTAATATTTCAGTTAATGCAAACAACTGGTCTATTTTTCTACCTCCTTTGGCTCAACAGCATCAATTGCATGAATTCCAAAGAGAGACATTAAAATCAGCTGCTTTTAGGCAGCTTTCTCCTTGCTGAAGGTGTCTAAATTGGCTGTTCCTTTATCAAGTACTGATCTTTCCCTGCCAAAGGCATTCGCTGGTTCTTGATTTAAATTAAGGCATGCATTCAGCTTATGATATCTCTCATCACTGGACTAATAGCTCTTGAGTGGTAGAGATTTTATAAAAATTATGACATCACTCTTCATTGGTTTTATTGCTATATGCCAGTTCTGTCTTTTGGGTATTAGAGGCTAGTTATATTTTCTGTTCTGAAAAGAGGAGTGCAAAAAATAAACATTATCATGTGGAGTTTTGTCTTGAGATTTATGGCAGTCATTGGAATTGAAAATTACCTATGGTTTAGATGATTGTATTCTCTTCCATGTCAATAATATTTCTTGGGCATGTACCACTGTTTCAGTCTGTGTCACTGCATTATTTTGTAGAAAAATATCTGCCTTGCTTTTTGACTCTCTGATGGTGAAAGGGTGTACAGGAAGGTTACACAGATAGAAGATATATCTGTATGTTGGAATGTGAATCACAGTATGGAATAGTGACAAGAACTGTTGCAGTCAGCAACCTCAGGATCTTGTCCAGGGAAGCAGGAGGATTCTGGGGACCAGCATGTAACACCAACGAGACAGGCTCCCGGCTCATGAAACCATTTATTCATCATGGGAACAAACTCAGGTCCAGAACAGAGAGCCCCGAACAGAGCACAGCAGGGGTTTTTGAGGGACAGAGCTCTTAAGGGTTTCCACCTTTGAGGGTGGAGTTCAGGGTCAGGGACCAGTAGAAGCACACCAAGGGAGAACCCCCCAGGGACTCAAACCCAATCAGAGCACCTGGGCTGCCCTTCACAAGGGGTTTGGGGTGGGACAATTAATTCTTTGTCTCCCCTGAGGCACGTCACCACAAAGAACTTCTCTGTTGTTTGGTGTTGTGATGTCACTAGTTTATACCTGGTTATGTGTTTTACAAACAAACCTCCCATCCCTATAAATCAATTAATTGACTACCAGAAGGAATTGCTGCTAAATCCACTAGATGAAAAGGATTTCAAGTGGTAATATATTAGCAAAGTTATTTCTGATCCCTGTGAACCACAGCAGAAAGTAGCCTGTAATAAAGTAGTTCTGCATTCACTTATCAGCAAGAACAGCCTAGACAGCTAAACTAAGGTACTGTTGACTAAAAAGATAATGTCTTGAACTGTTGTGATATAAGGTACCAAAATTTAACAAGTGTTCTCTTAAGGAAACTTGTTTCTTGACAGGTATCTCTAGTCAGACCAATCTTGAATCTGGAAGACTGTACTAAGCTCAAAAACAAGCCATAAAAATAAAATAATAATAACAACAACAATGATAATGGTAATAATAATAAACCACAAAAAAAAAACCCACCAAAAAAAAAAAACTGCTCTCGGACTTTTTCTTTTCCCCACAAGATTGTGTGTTTTGACACACTTCCATTATTTAATGTTCTGTTGGAAAAATGCTAGGAAATGCCACAATCCTGTACTTCAGACAGATGAAATACATTGCACCGATTCTCTGTTATGGGAGTTAATGAATTTAAATTTCTAACTGATAGTTCAAATGGGTAGCCACCTTCTTTTTAGAAGAAGGAGAGAATTACCTGTCTGGTATGTGATTTTGCTCTATAAGCTCTTTGACTGTAGCCAAAAATATAACTAAACATTCAAAAGTACTGCTAATGTAGAGAAATTAAGGCATTTTTCAACATATCAGTCATAATTAAGGTGGTTTTCAGCAAATCAAGTATATTAAATTTTCTGTGCTGATACTTGGCTTTGAAAGGTTTCCTTTTATTTTTTCTCTTGGAATACTTGGGGTAACTTCATGTGTTACTTCTCATAAATAGAACATTGTCATTGAGGAATGGCAACAGAGTATTTCTCTCTGTTGATCTGTGGGATCAACAGATCTGTGGGATCTACGATACTGAAAAATGTAAAAGGTGTTTTCAGTCTTTGAAGAGGTCAGGATACATGAAAGGCACAGAGATGTACTAATAAATATTGTATTTATTTGGTCTATTTAAATCTCCTATGTAAAACTTAAATGATATATTCAGAAAATTTAAAATTTTGCTGCGCTTAGTTTGAAAAACAAATATCTCTGTGCTGTCACATTTTGAAGAACTGATTTATTTGGGCTAAAAAGTTTATTGGGGCAAAAAATTGTGCTTGATATGTCAGATGTAAAGTGACACACATGATTGTCATGACTCGATCAGAAGATTTAGCCACATTTTCAAGCTAAGGGTATCTGTCAAGAGAGAAATAGAAACCTGTATTTTGCTGTTAAGAAATGCAAATGCCAAACTCCTTGCTTTAAAATATAGGCCATTTCATTTGTGCTTTACCTCAGGACAAGCGTGTTGATTCACTTTTGGGTTTGAGACTTCAGAGATGCTATTAAGAACTGATAGATATGGAGCATGAATCCATTCTTTATCCCTTGCTGCTTACTTTCTTCAGGTTAGACAACACTGCTGGAGGCAAGGTCAGAATTATTCATTATGTGTCTAAGAAGCCATGAGATGCCAGGCAGTGACCTTTGGCTTTGCTGTTTTTGAGCAGTCTTTATGAAGAGAAACAGTAAATTACTTCTGTGAAAATGGAAGCTGTTGTTTTGGGGGGTTTTGTGTGGTTTTTGTTTGATTATGTTTTTTCAGACAGTATCAAGTTCTTTAAAGACAAATCAATAAATAAAGAAATAATTTCAGTTTTCCATGCTGTATAAAATGTATAAAGGAGGAGTTTTTTTCTTTCTTATGATATACTGGCAAACACCTTTGGCCCAATTCTTCATAGGTTTTAAAAGACATAAGGCCATTTTTCTTTGTGCTTTGTCATCTGGTTTTGTATCTGTAAATATGGGAAAAAATCTTAAAAAAAAAAAAAAAGTGAGATATCAGGACTCTTAATTTGTGAGAATATATGAGATAGATGCAACTACTTCTGCAGAAAGTATGATGTGCTTCTGATTTGCAATTTCCACCTGCAAAAGAGACTTGTGAGCCCACTTTTTAAAAAGCATCCTGGGAAGAGAACTGTTGAAGATGCTCTTTTGAAGGTGGAAATAGCACCTGGGAAATAGCTGCTGGGGATACTTTTGAGTAAATATGTAATGAAGCTGATGCTTTTCCTGCAAGTCTCCAGGCATATGTGGTTCACAGTACTTTGGTTCTTAGCATACAGAAAACGGCTCCCTTGGAAGCTGAGAAGGATTGTAGTGACATAGCAGGTGCTTGTTTTGGAAGATTTTATTTTTATAGAAACACTTGGAAAATGTGAGATAAATTAATTTCTTAGGAGTGAGATCCATCTTTTGTATGGACAGCTATTTTCAACTCAGAAATAGTATCATCTCTTATTTTCTTTGTGGCTCTAGATTCCTTTAGCATCTTAGTAGTAGGCTGTTTCAGAGAACAGCTTTCACTTTCAGAAAACTTATGCAAAGAACGAATTGGGTCAATGTTTAATATTTCTTTTGAATCTTTTTTAAACATACCTGTTTTGAATGAAAATACTTGTTTCCAGTTGCCTGCCTTCATTTACCCTTTCAAGAAAAACATTTAGACTAATCCTCTTGAAATATTTCTCACACTGTTTAAATAATTATTGATTAATATGTTCTTTAAATCATATTGCTGATTCCAGAGAATACAGAAGTCTGGCTTTTATGGTTGCTGATGGCTTTTGGTTTTGGGTTTTTTGGGTTGGGTTGTTTGGAGGTTTTTGCTTTGTAAGATGTGGGCTTTTTTCTAAAATGGATTATGTTGCTTTGATTATTTACTATTATTATTACTATTATTTACTATGTTTTTATGCTAGAAAGCTACTTGTTTGCCAAGAAATTATGATTTGAAGCTATATTAAAAATCACATATAGGGTGATAATTTCCAAGTGCTGTTATTCATGTCAGTATTAAATAAGGACAATATATCTGGCTTAGGTAAACTTTTACATTGTTAGTAGACTTTGGAAACAGAGTTATGTATGCCATGCAGATCTTATATAAGTACATGTAAGTAAAACTGCATATAGAAATGGCTGTAGAAGTTCAAAGATTGTTTTCTTTCCTCTGCCAGTTTGTGTCCCTTGTGTCTTTATATCATGATTACAGTTTTAGAAGAAATCACATATCACAAACCAATTCAGACTACTTTATAAGGCCTTAAGTCTAGAAGTGAAATCATCTAGTCTGGCCAGCAGGTCATGACATTTCATAGAGTCATCCAAGTTT